GACTTATTTTATCTAGTTACTGTAGCTTATGACTTTAAGCAATCATATCACACTGTTTGATTATAATAAATATAAACTGAAATAAAAATCCCTAGACTTTTTCACATTCTACAATGAACTGCTGAGGAAATTTAATTCCACTAATGTAGTACACAATATTTTTTATATTTAATTTAAAAATTAATGAGTAAAAATTGTGAATAACAGGAGAGAGGAAAATTCAAAACCATACCTTGATAATGTGTATATGTATTTCAAGCACATTTTGTTTAATGTAATTATGCCAAGAAAAATTAAAATTCATTTTATGGCTATCTTCCAAGATCTAAGAAATGCTGCATTTAACACTCTGTGACAGAGAAGAGAACCAAGATGGTGGCATAGGTAAACACCTATACTTGCTGCCTCTCACAACCAAACCCAATTTCATCTAAAAGGCAGAACAATGACAATCCAGAACTGCGGGAAAGCTGGCTGAGTGGAAGTTCCACAACTAGAGAGGTGAAGAAAGTGCATTGAGACTGGTAAGAGGTGCGGAGGCACAGAAAGTGCTGGCAACTGGATGTGCTGAACTTTTAATTGGGAGGGAGATACAAGCTCCCAGTTGCTCTGAACTCCAGTTCCAGGCGAGATTCTGGGAGACCCAGAAATATACATGGAGAAACTAGACTGTCTGGCATCGGAACAGGAATGCGAGGGTGGCTTTCTCGAAGAGGTGCTCGCAGTGATCATTGTTCCTACATGGGAGGCGCGGGACGCGGAGACCCAGGTGCCTCTCTGGTGCATGGCTGACTGGCAGCCATTGCTGTTTGCTCCGCCCTGGTTAATTCCCAGAGACCCCGCCCCACCCAATTTACAGCCCCACCCAAGCTGTGCACATTGGCTTTTGCATATGAATAACATGTCCTTTATCCGCCTAAAACCTGTCAAACTGCATCTGGGTCAGAGAGCCCTAGAGCTTCCAAAAGAAGGCCCAAGGCCTGGCAGCAGCAGCCTGACTTGCTTCACAGCTAGACTTTGTCTGGGCACTTCCAAACCCCATACAAAGAGGAAGAGTTTATAGACTCCTCTGTCTCTGTAGCACCTGCTGGGTGGCCCCAGACAGTGGCTGACCTTGAATTTCCTTGGATATCCAAGAGCAAGTGTACCCTATGGTCAGAGTGAGACCATACCGGATTACAACTCTTCACATCCATAAGAGACACACTCAAGGGGCAGACTCAGTGAGCATCAAAGCCCTACTGAAGAAAGTCCTGCCCCATAAGGGTGTCGTCTGCAAAACAGTTCTTCCAATGTAGACACAGCTGGTCATCACAGCCAATTGGCCTGGAGGTCAACCTCCCAATGATACCAACAACAATCAAGGGTTAACTACAAGACAGTGCAAACAGCCCAGAAAGGGGTGCACCAAGAGTGTCCATCTCAGGTGACTGGGGAGGTTGAGCCACTGGGCCCTATAGGACACCTGCCACACAAGGCCACTCTATCAACTCAAGGAGACTTAGCAACTCTACCCAATACATAGAATCAAACACACAGAAGCAGCCAAAATGCAGAGACAAAGAAACAAGTCACAAATGAAAGAAATGGAAGAAAGCAAAATACTGGATATAGAGTTCAAAACCATGGTTATAAGGTTACTCAAGAATCTTCTAGAAACCTCTGAGAAATTTAGTGAAACCCTCACGGATATGAAAAAGGACCAATTAGAAATTAAGCATAAACTGACTAAAATAAAGAATAATATACAGAGATCCAACAGCAGACTAGAGCAGTGATGACGAATCTTTTGAGCTCAGCATGTCAATATTTTGAAAAACCCTAACTTAACTCTGGTCCTGTGTCACATATAGAAATTTTTTGATATTTGCAACCATAGTAAAAAAAAAAGATTTATATTTTTGATATTTATTTTATATATTTAAATGCAATTTAACAAAGAAAAATCAACCAAAAACATGAGTTCATGTGTCACCTCTGACACACGTGTCATAGGTTTGCCATCACGGGACTAGAGGATCCCAAGAATCAAGTCAAAGATTTGAAACACAAAGAAGCAAAAAACACCCAACTGGAAAAGCAAAAAGAAACAAGAATTCAAAAATATGAAGATAGTGTAAGGAGCCTCTGGGACAGCTTCAAGTGTACCAATATCCGAATTATGGGGGTGCCAGAAGAAGAGGTAGAGCAACATATTGAAAACTCATTAGAAGAAATAATGACAGAAAACTTCCCCTACCGGGTGAAAGAAATAGACTTAAAAGTCCAGGAAGCGCAGAGAACCCCAAACAAAAGGAATCCAAAGAGGACAACACCAAGACACATCATAATTAAAATGCCAAGAGCAAAAGACAAAGAGAGAATCTTTAAAGCAGCAAGAGAAAAACAGATAGTTACCTTTAAGGGAGTACCCATACGACTGTCAGCTGATTTCTCAACAGAAACTTTGCAGGCCAGAAGGGAGTGGAAAGAAATATACAAAGTGATGAATAGCAAGAACCTACAACCAAGATTACTCTATCCAGCAAAGCTATCATTTAGAATTGAAGGTCAGATAAAGAGCTTCACAGATAAAAAATAGCTAAAGGAGTTCATCACCACCAAACCAGTATTATATGAAATGCTGAAGGGTATTCTCTAAGAAGAGGAAGAAGAAGGAAAAGGTAAAGATAAAAAATTATGAACAGCCAAGTGACAACAAATAATTTTTATCAACAAGTGAACCTAAAAATCAAATGAATAAAAAATCCTTATGAACAGAACAGACTGGTGAATGTAATAGAATCAGGGCCATGGAAAGGGAGCAGACTGATCATTCTCAGGGGGAAGGGTTGTGGGGGGGGTGAGAAGAGCTTGAACAAAGAGCTTACACCTATGGACGAGGTCAGTGGAGGTGGGGCACGGAGGCCTGGAGTGGGGTGGGAACCAGGTGGAGGGCAGCTATGGGGGGACAAAAAGAGGAATATCTGTAATAATCTGAACAATAAAGATTTAAAAAAAAATACTGTGACAGACTCCATTACATCACCCCCTTTTAGTTACCTCACAGTTCTTATCACTATCTAAAATTTTGTTTGGTAAATTTTTCATTGTTTACCTCTATCATGTATAGTTCCTGAACATACAGTCTCTATTGATCTCTCTTCTCTTGAGATCTCATCTAATTCCAGTATAAAATTAACTCCATCTATATGCTGACAACTCCCAAAATTATATCTCTAGCCCAGACCTCTTTCATGAAGTCCATAGCCTATATATAATGCGCGCACGCACACACACACACACACACACACACACACACACACACAATTCTGTTTCATTTGCACTACATACATTTACATTTGTTTACTCTTTATGCCCAAAACTAAATTCTGGACTCCCCCTACCACCTTAACAACATTCCCCATACATAGGCATTCCCATCTCAATTGATCGCCATGCTATCATTCAGACATCCTTGAATAATCTCTTTCTGTCCCATTCCACAGCTATTTCATTAGCAAATTGTAATGATTTGCCTTTAAAATATAGCTAACCAACTTATCATCATTCCCACTGTTATCATCCTGACCAAGATTCAGCAAGTCTTACCTGTATTATTGCAGTAGCCAAAAAAAACCAACAAAAAACAAGTCTCCCTCCTATCCTTGCTCCACACTCCAACAGATTTTGACATTATTGAGTGATTTGTTTAAATATAAGGCAAGTCACATCAAAACTCTACAATGCCTATTTCACTCAGTAAAAATACAAATCATTCTTTGGGCTTCTGTTCCCTCTCTGACTTTCTCTTTTGCTACTTTCCCTATTGCTAATTCTCACCTTCCCCGAGTCTTTTGTATTTTCTAAATGTTCTTAATAAGAACGTATTGTTTTCAATAACAACAACAATAACAAAAGTATAAGCGATAAAAGTATGAAGTGATAAAAGTATGAAGGAGTAATCTCTCTTTTTAGTCAGACATTTTCTCTGTAAGAACAGAATTAATTAACAGGGTCAAGTCTTTAGAAGAAAAAACTAAGTTCATGGCAAGAGCTTGTATGGCCTTGAATGCCTGTGGTCCTGATGAAGACTTCAATGAAGACAGGCCTTTACAATAAATCAGACTGCATGGTGTGATAGAAAGATGTCTGCATTCAGTATTGAAATAGCTCGCTAAAGCCTCTCCACTACTTACTAATTGCGAGACCTTGACTAAGTCACTATTCTCTCTGATTCATAGAAATCAATCTATAAAACTCATTATAGACCTAGTGCTTTACCAGAGAAATACTTACAAAATTAACTCACCAAAAACACATCTAATAAGGCTGATTTATTCCCAGGAATGTTACTGAAAGTTCTTGATTAATCTGCCCATACAAAAGGATGGCAGAAAATTAACCAAAACAGCACAAAAGTTAAGGGCCTGGTTGCAGAATAAATGATCTACAAGTTCTAAAAACTATGAGCTCAAAACTGAGAGGGTGGATCCAGGAACTCGCAAAGGCAAAGAAGCCACACACCTGAAGAGAACACAGACTGTAAATGTTCAGATGATGTATCTAGACTAGTAAGACCCAGGGCTGGGGCAGAAGGCTTCAGATGAGGACCAGAGGGGAAGTAATTGTCAAGAGGTCCTGGGAACTGCTCCGAATGAAGCAAACCACGAGTCAGAAAAGACAAAACGCCTGCGGAGACACAGCTGGAAGCTAGGGTGTCGTTTCCTTTTCTCCTTAGCGGGTCAGTTGTAGGAATTTTGTCGCCCAACCTGCCCCACTCACCGGGTCAACCGAGCTGCAAGGCCTTTTAAGTTAGGAACTTAGTGGCCAGGCCCGCCACAGACTGAGAAATCGCTAGGTGGCCATCAGCTCCGGAGACCGTCGCTAAGGAAACTGGGGGCTAAACTCCGGGATCACCGCATCGTGGTTTCCCCTGGGCCAGCCCCAGACCGTCGGGGGCGTGGCTACGTGAGTGACGCGCGGAAGGGGCGGGGCTAGGCGAAGGCGGACCTGGCGCGGGTGGCAGACCAGGGCGCATGCGTGCTGTGCGGAGCGGTGGGATACCTGGAAGGTTAAAGCCGGCCGCGGCAGAGGTGGGGATATGGCCCGTGCAAATGTCCCTCCAGCCTTATCTCTGCGAGAAGCCACCCAGCGGAAGTTGCGGAGGTTTTCCGAGCTGAGAGGTACCGAAGGAGGAAGCCCGGGCCTCCCGGGCGGTGGAAAGGGAGGGTCCTTCACGTGCGGTGAAAGTTGCTGGACTGTCACTTCCTGGATGCTTCTCTCTCACCTGTGGGCCCAGGACGCTGGCCCACGCATAGCTAATACACCTTGAATGTGTTATTCTGTTCTTTCACTGTCCTTTCTTTACGTGATGCTTGTTACTTTCTTTAACTTTATTTCTGGTTTCTAAGTAGATAGATAGGTACAGATATAGCTAGTGAAGCTATAAATTCAAGTTATGCATTTGGTTAGTTCATTAATAAATTATTTAAATAAATCTGAAATATCTAAAACATAGTGTCTTGACCTTTACAAATGTGATTTTAGCCTTCTCCCACCTCCCTACCCACTTCACCAATTTGTTCCGTGATGTGAACGCTTACTGAGTTAAACAAATAATGCTAAAACACGGAGGGATTATGGATTATTAAAACGAGTGAGGGTTGAATCAAAATGTTTTGGGGTTTTTTTAAAGGCTATGTCACTTGTCATTTTTTGTACAATTGTGTAATAAAATTCCTTATTTTTTTTGTAAAGTTACTGCTTTAAGAATACAGGAAATAATACTAGGATGACAATAAAACGTTCAGGACTATTCCATTCTAGGTGATAAGTCCTGTTTGTTAACTAATAAAAACAATTTTATCTTCTTTTTTTCCAATAAAAAAGAGCTTCCAGCTGTCTACCAAAAGTTCAGTCTGTCTTTTAATGAGTTCATCTGGGAGTTGGGAACTTTTCTATTATCCAAAATTGTATGTCATACTCCATTAGCCTTTGTAAAATTGCACGGCTCTTTTTAAGGTAGTAAAAAATAAAGTACCCACATTTATAAACAGCAACATTGTAGTAATGGATATTTGGATTGAATCTTTCTTAGCCAAGGAACACTAGTCCTAATAATATGAAAATTGATTCATTTATTTGTTCCTTTGTCTTCTTACTTAAGAATTGAGATAATCTTTAGAAAATCAGTAATATTTCTCTTAAAATAATATCTAAATATAAATGGGTCTGTAGATCATAGAAGAAAGTAATCTAAAAGAGAGAAAATTTATGATCAGTCCTCATTAGAACTATTTGAATCACACCAACTACTAATTGCTTAATTCTCAAAAGCAAGAGATACATTTATGAAGATTATAATATTATCTCTTTGTTTTCCCCTCTTTCCAAGTAAGTAACAGAGAATTCTGATAATATTTATTATTTCCTTGTGTTTTCACATAGGCAAACCTGTGGCAGCTGGAGAGTTCTGGGACATTGTTGCAATAACAGCAGCTGATGAAAAACAAGAACTTGCATATAAGCAACAGCTGTCAGAAAAGCTGAAAAAAAAGGAGTTACCACTTGGAGTTCAATATCATGTTTTTGTTGATCCTGCTGGAGCCAAAATTGGTAAGCATTTATGGTCAAATTTATATCATAGAGTCTAGGTAGAATAATCATTGAAGAAAAGTTTTCCTGTGGCATGCAGTTTATAAACTGCATATCTTCCCACCATAGTCTTTACTAACTTTAAAATTTTTATGTGAATTCAGTAGTTTTTAAAAATGATTAAAAATGATAAAAGGCATAACAACTCATATATATATGTACATATTTAATCGATTTCAGGGGGGAAGGAAGAGGGAGAGAGAGATAGAAACAATTATGAGTGAGAATCATTGATCAGCTGCCTCCTGCATGCCCCCTCCTGGGGATGGAGCCTGCAACCCCAGGCATGTGCCATGACCAGAAATGACAGGGGAATAGGTCTACACTCAACTACTGAGCCATGCCTTCTGGGCAAAGCTTAGCAACTTTCTTAGGGCAAGGCTTAGCAACTTTCTTACACATTGTGACTTACTATGGAAAAACTTCCCAAATATTATGTTATTTAAAAGACATTTGTATTAATTTTAATAAAATTTATTCAGGTAGTAAATAATCCATTGGACCTTATCAGTCGGATTCCTAAGATCCCTGCAAACTCCACATTTTCTTCAGAAATTTATGTAAAGAGATCAAAGCAAGAAAAATATATACTATTTGACTTCATGGGACCACAATTGCAGAATACAAAAGAACAGTCTAATGGCTTAAGTATCAGAGATATTTACTTTAAAAATCCAATTTCCATAAAGTTTGCCTTTTAATCTTTCATTGCATACTATTTTTGTGGTGGCAGTTTTTTATGTAATGCTAAAGCTGAAGCCCCTTGATACCAGAGATAGGGTATCTATATCTGACATTGGCATTGTTCTAAGTAGCCATGTTTTAATCCTCACAGCTAGCAGTCAGTAATATATGATTCCTATTGTATAGATGACATTTAGAGGCACAGAAAGTTAAATAACTTGCCCAAGGTAATTAGTAAGGAAACCAAATTCTAAAAAACTTTTTAAAAAGCAAGTTTAACTTACATATTTGATTGTCATATGGGAGAATTATTTAAATGGTTTTTGCAATTTGTCATTCCAAGTGAATTATATATATAACTAGAGGCCCGGTGCACAAAAATTTGTGCACTCGGGGAGGGGGGGAGGGGGGGTCGGTCCCTCAGCCCGGCCTGTGCCCTCTCGCAGTCTGGGACCCCTCAGGAGATAACAACCTGCTGGCTTAGGCCTGCTCCCGGGTGGCAGAAGGCAGGCCCAATCTCTAGGTGCAGCCCCTGGTCGGGCTCAGAGGAGGGCTGATTGGGGAGTTGGGGCACCTTTCCCTGTCATGCAAAGAGCAAGGCAGATTGGGAGGTTGCGACGCCACCCTCAGTCACGCTCAGGGTAGGGCTGATTGGGGGGTTGGGGCACCGCCCCCTGTCACACTCAAGGCAGGGTCAATGGGGAGGTTGCGGCACCACCCCCTGTCATGCACAGAGCAGGGCCCATCAGGGGGGTTGGGTCTCCGTACCCTGTCATGCACAGAGCAGGGCCAATCAGGGGGTTGGGGCGCTGCCCCCTGTCACCCACAGAGCAGGGCCCATCAGGGGGGTTGGGGAGCTCCCCCCTGTCATGCACAGAGCAGGGCCAATCAGGGGGTTGAGGAGCTCCCCCCTGTCACTCACAGAGTAGGGCCGATAGGGAAGTTGGGGCACCGCCCCCTGTCACACTCAGGACAGGGCGGATCAGGGGGTTGGGGCGCCGCCCTCTATCACCCACAGAGCAGGGCCTATCGGGGTTGGGGCGCCGCCACTCTCACACTCAGGTCAGGGCCAATGGGGAGGTTATGGCTCTACCCCGTCACAAACAGAGCAGGGCCCGTGGGGGGTGGGAGGGGTTGGGGCGCCGCACCCTGTCACACACAGAGCAGGGCCGATCAGGGGGTTGAGGCGCCGCACCCTGTCACACACAGAGCTGCAGGGCAATCAGGGGGCTGGGGAGCTCCCCCCTATCAGGCACAGAGCAGGGCTGATCTGGGGGTTGGGGCGCCTTCCCCTGTCACGAACAGAGCAGGGCAGATAGGGAGGTTCTGGCCCCGCCCCCTGTCACACACAGAGCCGCAGGGTGATCAGGGGGTTTGGGTGCTGCCCCCATCACGCTGATCCCGGTGCCGGGAGGCCTCGCGGCTCCACTGATCCCGGTGCTAGGAGGCATATTACCCTTTTACTATATAGGGTAGAGGCCTGGTGCATGGGTGGGGCTGGCTGGTTTGCCCTGAAGGGTGTCCTGGATCAGGGTGGGGTCCCCACTGGGGTGCCTGGCCAGTCTGTGTGAGGGCCTGAGGGCTGTTTTCAGGCCGACTGAAGCTCCCAACTGCTCCTTTTTTTCTTTTTCTTTTTTTATTCTGGGCCAGCTTTAGCTCTGGCTCCAGCTCTGAGGCCTCTGCTGCTGAACGTAGGTATCTGGTTTGTTTAGGTTCTATAATCGAAACAATATATAACTCCAGCTCTGAGATCCCGGGCCAGCTGAAAGCAGGTTTCTGGGGTTTTGTTTAGCTTCTATATTTGTTACAATGTTTCTTAAACTGCAAGCTTAAAGGCAGGTGGGGAACATTGGAGTCCTCCGTCACTGAAGCAAGCAAGCCTCATGTTTCAAGCTGCCTGGCTGCTGGCTGCCATCTTGGCTGGCAGTTAATTTGCATATCTCGCTGATTAGCCAATGGGAAGGGTAGCGGTAGTACGCCAATTACCATGTTTCTCTTTTATTAGATAGGATACTTACAGTATATATATATGTGTGTGTGTGTGTGTGTGTGTGTGTGTGTGTGTGTATTTACAGTTTTCTGGTGTTGCAGATTGCCTATTTTATCATTTCTTCATTGTGTATTAATATTTTCGGGAGAAGATTAGCTCATCATTTAGGGGCGGATCCCTGGTTTTCATTGCTAATCGTTTAATTATTTAATTGCTATGAAATGTGTATTTAAATTGATTCTTTTGTCCATATTTTTGTTCTCTGCCTAGTTAATTGTAGCCATATCCTCAGAGTTCTAACACCTAAATTTACCATACTTACAAAATTTTAGTAGGTTTATATGAAATAAAGTGTACATTTTTAACTTTATTTTTAAGGTAATGGAGGATCAACATTTTGTGCCCTTCAAAATTTGGAAAAGCTATATGGAGATGAATGGAATTATTTTACCATCCTATTAATTCACTCCGGTAAAATTATACTTTACTGATTTACTGATTTTACCTTTGATATCTTACAACAGTGGTTCCTAACCTTTTTTGGCCGTGCCCCATCTAGCATCTCTAAAATCCTGATGCTTCCCCCCTCACCCCCCCTTTACCTACCCGGTGACATATAATTCTTACTATTCAAAAAGTGAACTCCTATTCAAGTGGAGGAAGCCTAAAAGGCCATTAGCTTGGTCTAAACAAACTTCCAAAGAACATGGCATCCATGAAAGAGAAAAATAAAAGAACAAAAGGACAGTTGAAGTACTGAGGAAGAAATCACTAAGAAATTGTTTAAAAAATAATAATAATATGAAGTGATATGAAAAAATAGCAAATAAGTTTCAAAACATATATTAGAGCACTGGAATACATAAATATGTCACAATATATATTTATATACTGTATATGAGGCCCCTAGAACCATAAGAAATGCAAAAAATTTACTGTTAATAACTCATTCTCAAATTGCCCTCCTTAAAAATCAAATTGTGCCCCATGTTGGGAACCACTGTTTTAGAACTTTCCTTTTTTTTGGTCTTTGAAGTTAGTCTGCTTTGAAAACAAATATTTCATGCTTTTCTTGATATTTTTAGTTTGTAAGTAATATTACATTTTCTACAATATTTCTCTTTAAAATGTGGATCACATACATTGATTGTTTATGGGTATTGTGTTTAGTATGTATGTACAAAATTATTTTCCAAAGAGAGAGCTCATCAAAATATGAACATTTTTCAATAAGTCTTTAGAAGGGATTCTTGCTGTAGGGAAGAGGCTGGTTTAGCACTGTGATCCCCATACTATTGCCAAAAACCTTCTGTCTTGCATTTTTATTTGATTATTGGTAGACAAAGTCTATAATCCTTGAAGGAGTTACAAGAAAAAAAAGGTGGTCACAAAACATGGAGTTGATGAGAAAATATCTGAGGGAAAATTACATATACAAGAGGACATTATAAAGCAGAAAGGTAGGAAAGAAATAATCTCAGAACAGAGGATAGGCGTTTATTTTAATTGGATAAGTTTAGTTGTATGAAAATTTTTATTCTGTGGAAAGCTTTATTATTTTCCTCTATGAATTAGGTCTCTATGAAAACTTTGTCATGGATTGGCACCGTGGCTTCCAAGGCACTATCCATTTCTTATGCTTGTTATACAGAACAGTGATTTTTTAAAATATATATATATTTCTTGATTGATTTCAAAGAGGAAGGGAGAGGGAGAAATAGAAACATCAATGATGAGAGAGAATCATTGATCAGCTGCCTCTTGCACACCCCCTACTGGGGATCAAGTCTGCAACCTGGGCATGTGCCCTTGGCCAGAATCGAACCCCGGGACCCTTCAGTCCCCAGGCCAACACTCTATCCACTGAGCCAAACCGGCTAGGACTGTAAAGATGATTTCAAATGAAGCATCCAAGTTATGATTTTATGGCTGGCTGTAAAAAAATTTCAAATTTAGCCCAGCTGGCATGGTTTAGTGGTTGAGCAGCCACCTGTGAACCAGTAGATCACTGTTTGATTCCTGGTCAGGGCACATGCCTAGGTTGTGGGTTCGAACCCCAGTAGGGGCCGTGCAGGAGGCAGATGATCGGTGATTCTTTCTCCCTTTCCCTTTCTCTCTGAAATCAATAATAAAAAGAAAAGATGTCAAGAACATGTAGCAAAATTTAAGTATTACTCAAATAAAACAATTAGTTTTCCTAAGCCATCAAAATTTTAAAATTTATAGTTTTATTCCAGAACAAGTATTATTTAGTAAAAGTTAAAATCGATATCAGAAAATATATAGTTAAAAATATCTAATTATAATGCTAAGCTTTGCTATTAGCTTGTCTTTAGAACAGTGTACTGTATGCCAAGTGCTTTACTTGTATAATTGATCTCATAAAACATGACAAAGCAAATATTATTCTACATTTGCTTATTTGGAGTGTGTCCAAAGATAAAAAATTTAACAGGTAGTAAGCCTGAGTTTGAACCCAATTTTGTCTGACTCTCTCTACTATTGTAATACTGCCTCTCACTGTACTTACTAAACATAAAAATGATGTAAGCTATTTAATTTACTTACAAGAACACACTTCAAGGAATTATGAACTCATTGGGCTAATCTTGGAGGGAAAGCCTATTTAAATTAAAAAGAAATATAAGTTTTAAAATGCTTTTACATAAATGCACCATTGTTTCCTTTAAGTGTATGTAATAATTTGAGGAAAGACACTGCATTTTGAAAAGTACAATTTAGTAGATAATGTTGGAATTTGTATATAATTTTTTTTGTGACTTGCTTTTACCCCTGTAAAGTGGATTTTTATTGTAGGATTTAAATATGGTTGAAATTGTTTAAAATGTGGATATGAGGTCATGTTTTAGCCTGTGGTCCATTTTATTAGCAATACAGTGGAATTTAAACAGTTCACATTCTCTAAAGTATATGTAAATTCTTTTCTAATCTAGAGTCTTTAAAACTACAGTATTTCCAAAGAATATGGGAGAATTTTTCTTTGAATTTGTATTCTGGAGCTTATTATTCTTTCCTGAGTTACAGTAATATGTTGTATATATTGAATATTTTTAGATACATTTTGAGTTACTCCTGATGCCCCTGGGTTTTTAAATTATTGGAAACATTCATATTAACATTTTATAAGAGTTATTTCATTTAATTTTATAGGTGGCTACAGTCAACGCCTTCCAAATGCAAGTGCTCTGGGGAAAATTTTCACTGCTTTACCTTTTGGTAACCCCATTTATCAGATGTTAGAATTAAAACTAGCCATGTACATTGATTTCCCCTCACATATGAATCCTGGGATTCTGGTTACCTGTGCAGATGATATTGAACTTTATAGTGTCGGAGAATCTGAGTTTATCAGATTTGACAAGCCTGGCTTTACGGCTTTAGCTCATCCTTCTAGCTTGACTGTAGGTACCACACATGGAGTATTTGTCTTAGAACCTTCTAATTGTTTAGAATATAGTGACCTCGAATACCGGTGTTGCCATCGTTTCCTTCATAAGCCCAGCATAGAAAGGATGTGTCAATTTAATGCTGTGTGTAGACCTAGAAATTTTTCTCAGCAGGACTTGTCTGGGGGTGACACTGCCTCTCTTAAATTTGAATCTGAGTATGTCTACACGGACAGCCTATTTTACATGGATCATAAATCAGCGAAAAAGTTACTTGCTTTTTATGAAAAAATAGGCACACTGAACTGTGAAATAGATGCTTATGGAGACTTTCTGCAGGCTTTGGGACCTGGAGCAACTGTGGAGTATACCAGAAACACATCAAATGTCACTAAAGAAGAGTCAGAGTTGGTAGACATGAGGCAGAGAATATTTCACCTTCTTAAAGGGACATCACTAAATGTTGTTGTTCTTAATAACTCCAAATTTTATCACATTGGCACAACTGAAGAATATTTGTGTCACTTTACTTCAGGTAGCAGTTTGAAGTCAGAGCTTGGCTTACAGTCCATAGCTTTTAGCATCTCTCCAGCAGTACCAGAATGCTTTGGTAACACATCCTGTATCATTCAAAGTATATTGGATTCAAGATGTTCTGTGTCACCTGGCTCAGTTGTGGAGTACTCTAGGTTGGGGCCTGATGTTTCAGTTGGGGAAAACTGCATTATTAGTGGTTCTTCTATCATAACAACAGCTGTCCTGCCTGCATATTCTTTTGTGTGTTCCTTAAGCTTGAAGATGAATGGACACTTAAAGTATTCAACTATGGCATTTGGAGTGCAAGACAACCTGAAAAGGAATGTTAAAACATTGTCAGATATAAAGTCACTTCAATTCTTTGGCGTCTGTTTCCTGTCATGCTTAGATATTTGGAATCTGAAAATTACAGAGGAGCTCTTCTCTGGAAACAAGACATGTTTGAGTTTGTGGAATGCTCGTATTTTCCCAGTTTGTACTTCTTTGAATGATTCAGTTACAACATCCATAAAGATGTTAAGTGCTGTGCAAAGCAAGTCAGCATTCAGCCTGAATAACTACAAGCTGTTGTCCATTGAAGAAATGCTTGCCTACAAAGACGTAGAAGACATGATAACCTATAGGGAGCAAATTTTTCTAGAAATTACTTTGAATAGAAAACTTTGATTTAGAGACATCTTAAATATTACATACTTTGCCTTTCTTGATTAAGCTAGATTGCAAATATAAGTGTTTTCTATAGATGTTTGTTTTATTGAAGTCATTTAATGAAAATTATGTTAACAGTTGCTGCAGCATAAAATCAATAACACAAAAATACAGATAAACCATTTTTGAAGAAACTATTATTAGGCTGTAACTTCAGGAAAGGGATTTTTAGATGTTTATGACTATTTTAATATTTCTATAAATTAAGATGGATTTATGGAGCATTAGTTTGTTCACATAATAATGTACTAGTTTTAAAGGCAATTTTCTAAACATACCTTTAGTTTTTCCCTCTTCTTTTTGGCATCAGTTCCAAAAAAGTTCTTAGTGTTTATTGGCAGTTCTCTTCTCAGATGTAGTAATTCTGATTAACTAATAAAAATAGCATACAATCTGATCTTCAGAGCACTGTTGGAATATTGTCAAAATATCATCTGCAGGGACAGATTTATAATTATCAAATTCAGATTAAATTAATGCTTAAAATATTGTGATAATCTTAATTGATAAGTAATGGACAACTCTGAAATTGATGCTAAAAATCTCATTTATTGATCTTACCAAAATGAAACAAAAAAGGGTATATGTGTTATTTTATCCATATAAAGTTGAAAATGTGTTTGTATATCCTAAAAATGTTCCCTAAATTTTCATCCATAGGAAAGCATACACACCCACAAAAGTCAAATATCTGTGTGGGGAAGATGGTAGGAATAATTGAGATTCACTGATAATAATATGTTTATTCTGAGCATTACTTTCATCCTCATACTAATCTCTTTAATAGAACTGTTAAATTACCAGATGAACTGATTTTACTTTTCATTTCTTATTTTTTGTCCATGCACTGGTAATGATGCTGAGAAGCAATAAATACCCAAAAGGTAGATAGCAGGAAGGAGCCAGAAGAAGAGAAAGATTAAGAAAATGCACACATGATAAACAGCTTCAAGAAATAAAAATTGGCTGGCATCCCAAGTTATATGTACCAATCTATATATATAAAAGCCTAATATGCAAAGTGTCCCCTCAGGAGTTTGACCTGGAGACCAGGAGTTCAATCGCTTGCTAATGATGTGCTCTGACCACCAGGTGGTGGCGCGGAATGAAGGAAAGCCCCACCCGGCAGCTGGAAGGCCCTGGCCCTAGGGACCTTACCTGTGCATGATTTCGTGCACAGAGCCTCTAGTTTGATATAAGCACATAAGTGAAATGTGCTCATACCAAAGTCTAATAACCCTATATAATAAAAGCATAATATGCAAATCGACCATCCATTTGGGACCAAGCTATGACACCCACTGGTGCCAGGCCAGCCAAGGTGGGTGCAATGCGATTGGCCAGGGGTGCAGCTCAAACCCATGATTGCCTTGCAGAAGGAGGCCTAGGCCACCAACCAGCAGGCTGCGGCGGGTGGGCAGGGCCTCCCTCTGTGAGGGAATCCCAGGTCCTGGGTGCCAGCAGCTGGAGAAAGCCTAGGTCCCGGGTGCCGGCAGCTGGAGGGGGCACAGGTCCCAGGTGCTGGAGGGAAGCCAGTGCCGGCAGCCGGGTGAAGGAAGGCCTACTCTTGCATGAATTTCATGCATTGGGCCTCTGGTAATTACAGAAAAGACTTGTAATTGTTTTGTATTTTAACATGAGTAAATTGAAATAAGAACTGGTCTGTGCCACTTTTATTGATGTATCCAATGACAAAACGAAAATAATTATTTGGTAAACCAGAAGTAACTTGTCTGTAACTCTCAATGATCATATTTATGTCTTGTTTTTTTCTTTCTTAAAGGTTCTTTTCAAGGACAAAATAAAGATATATATAGTAGCTATTGTGTAGCATTTACTGATTTACTTGCACAGTTTTTAGAGGATATTATGTTTATCATTTATTAAATGTTCACTATTGTATTTCATAGTATAATCTATATAATTTTGTACAATCTAAAAGGCCATCAATTATTAAGAATCACCATTATTTTATGTTCCACAAAAAAGAGAAAACGCTACCAATAAAATATTACTCAAAGCTTTCTTTGTTACTTGAAGTTTTTATATTTATTGGCGATCTCTTTTAAATGCACTTACAGATTTTTATTATTTTACCTGCTTATAAAGGATCAAAATGCAGTATTGAAATATAGTCAATTATGTTCTCAAACTTCACATTTAGAGACAAGTTTTTTTTTGTTTTTTTTTCTAAAGCACTCTTCAATTGAAGACTTATTGATGTCCACACATTTCCACCTAGTACCATCCTCTGTACTGTCAAATGCATTTCCTAAGTGCCTCCATTACATTACTGTCCAGGTTTTCTTTCAAGCAGTGGACTCCAGATACCTGTTTTGCAAGTTTTTGATACTATTTGACAAAATTGAGTTTCATTTTTGCCTCAATTTAATCATATCTCTAGAAGAATGTGGCTTCTACTCAGTCAGGGGGAGGTTTCTTACAAATCGGTGCTCACCATTTTAAGCATAATTCTGCACAATGTCTGGATTCTAGCTGCTCTGAAATATTATCATTTCCCAAGAATTTGTCAGTGCCTCTTTCCTTGAGATGCATTACTTGGATGTATGTAGTACCATCTATGCATCACCAACAGTGTTCCTAATTTAGTGAGGTGATAATCCCGAGCATGTATAAGTAAGAAATTGGACATTTTCTTAGATTTATTATTTTATTTCATAAAATTACAGCCCTTACATCATACACTCTCTAGTTTTGTAAAGGATAGCTACAATTTGTAATTAAACATATTGTATAAACTTATTGATGAGTTAATAATTAACAGTGACCAAGAAGGGCATGAAAAACAAAATCCATCATTTGGTATTAATCTTCTACCTTATGCATTTATTTACCAAACTAAGCAAAAAGGATATCAGGAATGTGTATCCATGTATATATTAAATTGAAATAAAAACTCAAAAATCTAAATGGTATGCTTAAAATCACAAATTTTTAATGGTATTAATGCAGAACTCCCAGAACCTGTGGTGATCTATTCATCTTTCATCTGAGACTAAGCAATATTTCCTCTGTTAAATAAAGATAACCAAATTGAGCATAGAGCCGAAATCCAAACTTTGCCTGCTGCAAAATGTATATATATATAGCTGATAGCTGGTGTACTGTACAATACCAGGGATGCCATTTGCATACACCATGTTGTTGTCTGGACTTGAGCAACTTGGAGAGCCGGAATTTAGGCACCTTGATGTATATAGTCTAGCAGAATTAAAAAGGAAAGAAAAGCCAAAAAAATAAATTGTTCAAAGCTCTCTGAAAGATTTTTAGATGTTAGTTTTTGTTGTTATTTAGCTAAGTGAAACAGTTTCCAACTAAGAACTAAGGGATAGAGAACCAAGATGGCAGCATAAGTAAACACGGTTCTTGCTGCCTCCCACAACCACATCAAAATTACAACTAAAACACAGAACAACCATATTCAGAACCAACTAAAAGCTGGCTGACTAGAAGTCCTACAAGTAGAGAAGTAAAGAAGAAAGTACATCGAAACTGGTAGGAGGGGCAGGGGGGCAGAAGAGTGGAACCAGCTGGTCCGACATCCACATGGGGAATTTTTTTTTAATTGGGAGGGATATCTCCACTGCAGAGGACGCCTGTGAGAAGCAAGGGGTCTCAGCCCCATACCAGACCCCCAGGATGGTTCCAGAGCTGTGGTGAAAAGTCCCCATAATTTGGGGTTGAAAAACCCAGTGGGGATTGTGGTGGAGTGACATGGAAGCTACTGGAGACCCAGGCAGTTCCTCTTAAAGGGCCAGCACATGAACTTACTTGAACTCACTTCCTCTGGGTTCCTGCACTGGGCAGCAGCTTTGGGGGATCCAGGGACATATGGGGAGGAACTGGATTGTCAGGAACTCAGGGACAGCTTCTTCCAGACAGGGGTACTTGCAGGGGTCATTGTTCCTGTACTGGACCATCCCCCACCGCAGAGCTGACTGGCAGTCATATTTGAGTTTCTATCAGCCTGGTTCACACTGTTTGCTCCATTCTGATGATTCCCTGAGACCCTACTCCATCCAATTTGCAGCCCCATCTAATCTGCAGCTGCTTTTCCATATGAATGGCCTATCCTGAATCAGGGCTTCAGACTTAACTAAAATATCTTAAACAAGCAGCAGCTGGCATCAGCATGCCCCATACCTATCAATAACAGGCCCAAGACCTGGCACTAGCTCCAGCTTGTCTTGCTTCACAACTTGGCTTTGCCTGGGCACTTCCAAGCTCAATACAAGTAGCAGTTATCTGAAGATCCTTCTGTAGCTCCTGCTAGGTGGCAGTGGCTGACTGCACCTCCTGGGAGACCCAGAGCCAGTGCACCTTGTGGACAGCTTCAGGTCACACCAGGTTACAACTCTACCACACCCATGAGTGATATGCTCAAGGGACAGACTCAGTGAGCACTAAAGCCCCACTGAAGCAAGTCCTGCTCTGTAGATATATCTCCTGCACAGCATCTCTTCCATTGTAGTTGCAGTTGGCCCTCACAGCCAATTGGCCTGGAGGTCAGTGCCTTCCAGTGATGCCAACAAGAATCAAGGCTCAACTACAAGACTGTGCACATAGCCCACCCAGGCACACATAGAGTGTCCAGCTCAGGTGAGTACAGGACACCTACTACACAAGGCCACTCTACCAATTCCAGGAGACATAGCAACTCTTCCTAATACCTAGAAACAAACACAGAGAAGCAACCAAAATGTGGAGACAAGGAAACAGGTCACAAATGAAAGAAATGGAAGCAAGCAAACTACTGGTCACAGAGTTCAAAACAATGGTCATAATGTCACTCAAGGATTCTAATGAGCTTCAAGGGACCTAATGAGAGCTTCATGGGACTTAGTGAAACTTTTAAGATAGTAATGAGAATTTCAAAGACATGAAAAAGGACCAGTCAGAAATTAAGCATACACTAACTGAATTAATAATTTATAGGGACTCAACAGTACAGTATTACAAGAATCAAATCAAAGATTTAGAATATGAGGAAGCAAAAAGCACCCAATCAGAAGAGCAAAAAGTAGAAGTAATCAAAAATATGAAGATAGTGTAAGGAGCCTTTGGGACAAGAAATATAATGAACAAAATAAACTGATGAATAAAATATAGCCAAAGGCATGGAAACATGGAGCAGATTGACAAATCACAGAGGGTAGGGGGGAGGGGTGATTAACCAAAAATCTTATGTGCATATATGCATTACCTAGGGACGCAGACAGTAGGGTGCTGAATGCCTGGTGTGGGGTGGAAACTGGGTGGAGGAAAGCAAATGGGGGGAGAAAAAGGGGACATTTATAACACTCTTAACAATAAAGATTTTAAAAAAGAAAAAAGAAATAAAAAGAACTAAGTTATTAAAGGAAAGACCTTTATAAATTCACTTGCAAAATACATTTTAAAATTCATTTAGTGCACGTGAAATTATTGAAGCAATTACTAGTTACTTGTTTAATATTTTGTACCTCTAAAATTTTGTTTAGACAAAGCCAATTTCTATAGAAGTCGAGAAACAATTTTTATTGTTTGTACTTGGTAGAAGTGTATTATTAATATTACTTCTATTGAACTTTGTCAAAGGTTAACGCACATTCTCCTTCCCTTTAATATCAATGTGCTAAGCTCCATATAACATACTAATCTTCATGTTCTTCATGTTTCTGTTGGTTTATATTCACAGAAATTTCTATTTAGGTTTTGTAATATATTATGAGGGGCAAATTGCAGCAGTCTCTGGTGGGGAAGGACCCGTATCTGTCCCTGACAGCTAGTTTCATAAGCCACAACCAAATTGCCACATATTCAAACTTGCCAGTTTTGCTATAGTCCAGTAGAATGTAATTTGGTGTCAGGATAAAAACTGGAATAAACCCCTGAACAGGCAGCTCAGTTGGTTAGGGTGTCATTCTGATACACCAATGTTGAGGGTTCTGTTCCTGGTCAGGGCACATACAAGAATCAACCAATGAATGCATAAATAAGTGGAAAAACAAATGAATGTTTCTCTCTCTTCTTCCCTCTCCCTCTCTCTCTTCTCTCTTTTCCCTTTCTCTCCCCACCTCTTGCTCTAAAATCAATAAATAAAGTTTAAATTTGGAATAAAAGAATAAGAAGCTGCTGATTGCCTACTGCATTGATATTTGCAAGAGGTGAAGGTAGAGGATGCCTGTGAATTAGCCACAATTATCATCCACCTGTAAGGCTGTTTGATTATTGACATTCGTGTCTAAAGATGTTCATCCCAAGGGCATTATTGGACATGCAAGTAACTGATTGAAACCAACAGACTTAATGTTTCCTTCTGGGCTGGTTTGAGCAAATAGTCTATCTTTTGAAGCCTCTGGGTATAGGAACCTAGTAGCCTTCCAAAGTATAAAATTCAAACAGAGCAATTTATCTCTGATTGCTGCAGACTGGTGCAATCCATCTACTGTCATTTCCCAGCTCTCTGTGCCAGAATTATATTCCTTCAATTGTGCTTCAGTGCATCACAGAAACAATCTAAACTCTGTCTATATTCTTCGGGCACTGTTCTATGGTATGTTACACAGATCAGCATGTTCAATCTCCAGCCTCCTTAAAGGCTGTTAAAATCTTTGCTACAACCAACTCTGTGGATAAGTAATGTAAATGGATTTTTTTAATGCCCTTTTTTCACTAGTAACCATTCTTTTCTCTCTGCAGAACAATCAGATGGTTCAAGTTAGTTTTCATTATAAGAGAGCGTCATCCCATTGCTCTGAAAAGAATTAAAGCATTTAGATCTTGAGGCAAAAAAATGTTTTAAAACACAACTCTGGAAATCAAGTAAGTATTCTTTTCATTTGCAGGTTGAGAAATGTTGCACTACTAAATGAAGTTTTACATGATTGGTTTCTTTCCTATTATTTTTAGCCTTGGGGTTTGAGAAAGTAAATTATATTCACCAATATGCTGTTCTTCAGAGAACTTTTAAAGATTTTTAATGAAATCTAGAACCTGAAAACTTCTAATATACAA